GAAAGAAAGAAAGAAAGAAAGAAAGAAAGAAAGAAAGAAAGAAAGAAAGAAAGAAAGAAAGAAAGAAAGGAAAGAAAGAAAGAAAGAAAGAAAGAAAGAAAGAAAGAAAGAAAGAAAGAGGAAGGTGGAGAAAGAAAGAAAAAATAGGAAGAGAGACAGATAAAACTCTGTGCTATTATTTTTAATTGTTCCATTATTTATTATATATTAATATTTTACACTGTCCCTACACCTAGAGTGATTTTTCTGCCTTTCTTTTGCCCAGGGCTATCACATATTTTTCAGGGTTTACATGCATTCAATGTCAATAGTCCAGTGCATAAAATACACATGTGTTTAACAAGAGTTGAAAGGGACCTTGGAGGTCTTCTAGTCCAACCCCCAGCTCAGGCAAGAAAACTGAGGATGCCAAAATCTGAGTAGAGATCCTGGGAAAGGTGTCAGAATAATACTTAGAAGGGACCTTGAGAGGAACCCTATACCATTTCAGAGAAATGGCTGTCCAGTCTTTTCTTAAAAACCTCCAGTGTTGGAGCACCCAGAACTTCTGGAGACAGGCAGTTCCACTGGTTAATTGTTCTCACTGTCAGCAAGTTTCTCCTTAGTTTTAGGTTGCTTCTCTCTGTTCAGTTTCCATCCATTGCTTCTTGTTTGCATTCTGCTTCTTTGGAAAATACATTGTCCCCCTTTCTTTGTGGCAGCCCCTTAAAAGCCTGTTGTTTATCACACTCTTGAGTAAAGCATGTGAGCCATTTCCTCCTTTCAGTGGTCCATGAAAGTACATCTATAGCATGCAGATAATAAAGTCAAAAAAGGTGAAGAACATTTTTACAGAACTATAGATACATTGAGGCTGGGTGTGACAAGGAATGGCTGGGAGGGGAGGGGCCAGGTGAGGCACTCCTTGATGTGACATTGAGTTGGCCACGCCCACCCAGTCACATGACCACTAAGCCACACCCACCCAGTCACATGACCACTAAGCCACACCCAGTCACATGACAACAAGCCATGCCCACCAAATAAGCCACGCCCACAGAACTGGTAGTAAAAAAAATTGAATTCCACCACTGACCATAGCATGCACAATTTCTATTTATTGTAGGTAGAGACACATCACATCAGTATTTGCATAACTTTTCCAAGGCTTCATGATTATTTTATCAAGTGCTGGCCTGCAATGTATTTATTTACAAACAGCAAAATTCCAGTATAAAAACAGTAATCCACCCACCCCACCCCGGCAATACCACAGTCAAATGAGCCAGTTGATGGGCTCCATCCCACTCTGGGTTCTTCAAACCATTGGTTCTTCTGGATCTTATGAAAGAGTGTCAACATGAGGGCCAGTATAATTTCTGCACGGATGATATTCCAGTATGGTATCTGATTTTAATATACTTGCCAATTTAGCTTGTATTTTATATATATATGAGTTTAGGAAAATATGCCTCCAAATGGAGCTTCAATGAAATAGACATACAGATGAAAATAGAAGTATATTTTCCAGATGTAGTTAAATATTACAAATAACTAGAAAAATAAGGAATCTTGAGACATGTCCAAATTCTGAATATAGAATATAAATAGCCTTTGACAATGCATTTATTAATCCTGCATCTATTATAATGAGTGCTTTCCTCTTGGTCTAGCTGAGATTATTTTCAAGTGAACTGAAGCACAATTAGAATAGGTAGTGACTGTGCTTGTTCTGTTGCAAAAACGTATTTATTGGTAACATTTTCAGAGAAAAGAATAAAATCCTGAGGCATGTAATGTTTATTTTTTTTATGCAGTCATCATTCAGTAGCCATCTGCCTTCCTTGAGTATTTGTTGCTAAAGGCTCTTCTCTCACTGCTGGCTATTTACTATATTTGTCTATCATACACCAGCTTCTTCAGACAAGGAAATGATTTGTCCTAGTAAGCTTGGACACAAAAGAAAAAGGAAGAAAAAGCACATTGTACCCATGCTTACAAAATTAGTTATGTCCGGGTGTAGTGCTACCCCCAAAAGGGCTGCTGGAATCCGGGTTCTCTTTGCCCTTTTGGTATGGCCACAGGTCCCCACTAGCCCGTCTCTCAGGCACCTCTATTGGCTTAGGTCATGCAGTGTCGTGGTTGTCAGTCTTCTCTCAACAGGCTGGTCACGCGATGGGGCGATGGTCAGTCTTTTCCCAACTGGCGGGTCACATGATGAGATGGTATTCAGTTGGCTGGTTGGCCCTTTTTCCTTTCTCTCTCTCTCCTCTCACCCTCTCTTGAATCGCCTTTCCTTCCACTGCTCCTTCGTGGTTTCCTCTGCTTGCCTCACAGAAGTCTCTCCTATCCTCCCTATTGACTTCACTCCCTCTCCCTTTCCCCAGACCTCTTTTTTCATTTCCTATCCTTCTAGGTCTCTTTTTTCCCCTCCCTCCAAAAGGTAGTTATCCTCTCTCAACTTCCGGCCTTTTTTGTCTTTCCCCCCTCTCTCTCTCTCTTTCCTCCTCTTCCCGCCAAGAAAGCCTCCTCCTCCTTCTCTCCCCTTCTCTCCCCTCTACATATGCTAATACAAAAATGTATCTGATTCTCCCATGCCCTGCCAGTATGCCAAGACTCAATTTTTTAAAGAACTAGGCCATAGAACTGACAGTGAAGAGTTTTGATCCATGCAATGTCTGCTATCATTTTTAAAGGAACACACAACCCCTATGAAACAACTCTGTTGATGTTGTTTTAGCAGAGAATACAGCAAGAAAAATGTGAACAGTTGGAAGCTCTAATGCACACATTGTTCTATGATGCACTACAGACATGTTTATACTCATTACTTGTTCCTGATGATGAAAGCCAACCTTTCAGGGTATTTGAAGTTATGAAGATACTTCTAATTACTTCTGCATTTGGAGTTTTCCTCAATGATTTTATTTATTTAATTTTTATTCATTAATGTTATATGGTGCCCATGTTGTAGCACTTGGTGACTTTGAGTAGCTTACAATATAGTAAAGTGTGGAGATATAAAACAATTATGAATGTAAGTACAATACAAACCTTTCAAGAATGTCAAATGTCAACTCTTTGGAATAGTTCCTTATAATTTCATTTAACAGCAATTCACGCAGTCAGGTTTCAGTTTGAACAAAGAAAGTTCATTACCACAATTGCCTGTAATGGTAGCTTTATTCCTTTGCTGCTTTCTTTAGGATTTTGATCCCATTTTTTTCTTGATTGAATTTAGTTTTTGTTTATCAAATATACTTAAATTACATTTTTACAGTTAAGGAACTATTGTAATAACTGAAGGATTTTGGCTCCATGTCAGCAGCTCCTCATTCCATAAACTTCCTCCATATGATAAATGGATTTTCTAAATATCTGTAGAAGACAACCAGGCTGAGCCTGAGAAAGATTAATGCATCATCAATCTCAAATCCCTTGTGTCCACAAGAAATCTCCCTATGAACTTCATTCTTATCTACCACCTATTTGCTTTGACCATTAACAGTTCAGATTCTTGTAGAACGTATAAGTTTGCAATAAATCTTTATATTCATTTGAACTGCCTGGACTTCCTGATTTTCTTGCACTTGACAATCACTCAAAAAGATCAAGATAATCTGGTAATTATTCTTGTTGTCCACAGGGATAATGAAGTCGTTCCTTCCCCAATGATGTAATGGGCTCATCCTAAAAAAGAAAGGAACCAAGATAAAAATTAACTCTTTTAAAGTTGTATCCCAAAGATCTGAACTCCAGTAAAGTTAGTATCTAATTTTTGATTATGAGCCACAGTGGCGCAATGGTTAGAGTGCAGTACTACAAGCTACTTCTGCTGATTGCCGTCTGACTGCAATTCGGCCATTCAAATCGCACCAGGTTCAAGGTTGACTCAACATTTCATCCAGGCTCAAGGTTGACTCGGCCTTCCATTTTATCTGAGGTGGACAAAATGAGGACCCAAATTGTTGGGGGAAATATGCTGACTCTGTAAACTGCTTAGATAGGGCTGTAAAGCATTGTAAAGCGGTATATAAATCTAAGTGCTATTGCTATTGCTATTAATGACTATTCAGTTATTTACAACTGGCTTCAAAGCATTTTAGGTAGCAAGGCAAATTATATTAATACACTTATTTTTAAAAAATTAAGAAAATTGCAATTTTCTTATCCCAGCTTAGTTCTGAAATTGTGAAATAGCTTTAGTGAATCACCAGAGTAATTCCTAATTTCATCAAGACATCACAAATACTAGCCAATACAGAATCATTGAATCATAGGGTTGGAAGGGACCTTGGTGATTTTCTAGTTCAATCCCCTGCTGAAGGCAGGATTCCTTAAACCTTCTTGAACAAATGATTATTCTATATTTTCTTGAAAGCCTTCAGTGATGAAGCACCCTTGATTCTGAAATGCAAGCTATTCCACTGATATATATTTTCCATAGCTTGCTTCAATTTCAAAATGACCATAGAGACTTTTCAAAACAATATTTCAGAACTGACCCTGTAGGTAATGCTGGTTACTGCATCAGGAATTCATGGAGCTTATTGCAGTTAAAGGAAATTGGCATTTTCTGATATGCTCAATCATTTGATTATGGACTTACTGACAGTTGCTGATATGCTGCCTTTTAGTTTTCCCAGAATGCTCTTATCTCATCTGATATTGTATGGTATCATGCAAGAGCATTGTATGAATGGATAGGTGATCAGAGAAAAGACTAAATAGGCATTTTGCCTTCTAACTTGGAGTTGGCCTGTAATTGTGTGATTGAAAGAGACATATTTGTATTGAAAGCAATGAGGATAATTCCAAACCTGTCCTTTAAAGCAATTATAGAATTCTATAGGGGAACCCTGCCTTTGTATTGTATACATTCTACAGAAATCTCTAATTTTGGTATAGAATGTGCTGAAAAATAAGAGAGACCCACCTTGTGAAATTCAACTAGGTCAGCTAATGTTGAATGTTGGAGTTGGTCAACACCAAGGAAACTATATGAATCTCCAGAAGCATCTATCAGAAAATGTTTGCAGCCCTCTGCTGACAAATAGGAGAGAACATAGCCTTTGATTTTTTCACTGACTCGGATGAGAAAGCTTCCAGGTGCCAAACCCTCTAAAAGTTCTTCTGCTTTTTTGGTGGTTAAAATACCTGTTCCCAAAACAAAAGCAATATAAATAAGGAAGTACCTCATATGTTACATGGGAAACATGCTCTTAAAAAAGAGACTAACTTTCTGTCTTTCTCTTTCTATCTGTTTGTCCAGAGTTTTCATTTATTTAACCACTTTCCCAGGTAATGCTACATAGTCTTAACGACATAAGGCAGCTTTTTTTTAAAAAAAGTGTTCTGTGGAACCGTAGAGTTCCCTGACAGATTTAAAAGAAAAAAAAACCCAACTTCTCTTGAATGCAGGAACACCTATAGCACTTTTCAAAGATATGATAGAAAAGGCAGGACTTGTCAGCTGACATTCCAGAAGCTATATCCACATAGCAGGTGTTTGTGCTTATGAGGAGTCATCACTCAGCATGGACCTGAGAAGCAGGCAGCAGGGGTTCCAATTTTTTTTTTAATTTCTTTTTAACAGCCACAATTAAACAGGTTGTAAATAATCATTACAAGAACCTTTCATTGCTACAGAAAACATATTGCTCTCATCTATAGTGTACTGAAAATATAGGTCTGATTTTTTTCATAGTTTGTCCTTTTCCAAGGCTCATGATTGATCCTGGCCAGGGAATTATTAGATTGTTTATTGTAAAATTATCATCAATACAGATAGTTCTTGACCTACAACTGTAAGTGTAATTGGCACTGGAAGTCTGGTCATAAGTTGTTATAATTGTAAATCAAGGTACATGACTGTAAATAATATTCAGTCATGATTGAAAATAATTTTCCAGCCTTAATTTTTCATATTAAATGAATATGGTGATTGTTAAGCAAACCTATTCATTTCAAATCAGCAAAATATTGCAAATTGTGGTCATGTGATGCAAAATTTCATGACCAGCCATAAAATATCTGTTCCATGGCCATTGTAACTTTGAATGATTGTAAAACGATTAATTGTAAATCAAGGATTACCTGGATTTATACAACATACTGGTATTTCAAGTGCTGAAAGCACTTTATAGATACTAATCCTTAGGGTATCTTTTGTAGGAGAGAGAATGTTTTATTATAGTCATAGACCCATAACTTATAATTAAAATGGCCAAATCAGTTTTAGCCAGGTGAAATATTTTATTGCAGCATTTGTAATATTATAATTGCAACTAACTTTAAACAAGATTATTTTGTCCTGAAAATCTAGTTAGAAACTTGTTAAATTATTTCTATTGTATTTATTTTTCTTTATTTAAAAAAATACCTGGAATTTTATGCTAATTTTACAGGACTTTTCTTCCTATTTTAAGAATTGGACATCAGATAAATATTTGTTCTATAAATCTAATCTTTCTGATTGGCACTAAAACATCCTGGTTTAGCATACTAAATAGGAGAAATTTAATAGAAATGTTTTTTTATTTTGTTGAAACTCTTATTTCCTTACGTAAATTTACATCCCCATATTTTTAACTTCTGTTTTTATTATCTAACCATTGGTAAAATAAGTCCCATATCAAGAAATATTCAGTTTCTTCTTTTCCCTTAGTTGTAAGAATTAATCTATCAATTTCTGCACATTCTAATATTTTTTTGATTACACTCTCATTTGTTGAGATCTCATCACTTTTCCATTGTTGTTTAAATACAATTCTGGCTGCAACTAATACATGCAAAATCAAATATATATTCCTTTTATCATACTTTTCCAGCAGGATGCCCAACAAGAATATTTCTGGTTCAAATCTATATACTGCTTTTGTCATTTTTTCCAACCAAGTATGTATTTTTGTTCAATATTATTTTAGTTTTTGGGCATTTCCACCACATATGGTAATATGAACCAGATATCTGATTGCACTTCAACATTTAGCAGACTTATCTTTAAACATTTTTGCCAGTCTTCTTGGTGAAAAATGCCACCTATAAAACATTTTATACAAATTTTCTTTATATGCAGTTGACACAGTTAATTTAATATTTCTATCCCACAATCTCTGCCATTTATCCAGTTCTATTGCATATCCAAAAATTTTAGCGCAAACTATCATTGTCTCCTTTACTTGCTCACTTTCCAATTTGATATTTAATAAAGAGCTATATATTTATTAATTTTTCAACCATTTCAGTCAGGGGTGGGATTCTACAGGTTTGCACCTATTTGCTAGAACCGGTTGTTAACATTCTAAGCAGTTCGGAGAACCAGTTGTTAGGAGAAATTACTGGCCTAATCCTGTAAGGAAGGCAGGAAGGAAACATTCTGGTGTTGCTTACAGAAACTGCCTCTCCGTTAACCCTTATTACATTCTTGGCAGGACTAGACTTCCTGCCTCAGGAACTTCTCTGGAGTTTTTTCCCCCTTCTTTGCTGATACTTTGCTTGTGTGGAGTGACGTTTCAAAGTTACAATGGCACTGAAAAAAGTGACATGACCACTTTTCATACTTACGACTGTTGCAACATGCCCACAGTCATGAGAGGCCAGGCGAGGAGATGCGTGCCTCGATGTGAGTGATATTGAGTTGGCCACACCCAGCCAATAACATGACCATCAAGCCACACCCACCACCTAAATCATGCCCACAGAACCGGTTGTTAAAAAATTTGAATCCCACCCCAATTTCAGTTAATATCTGGTCCCATTCTGTTAATTTTTTATTAAAACCATACATTTTAGCATCTTTTTCATATCGAGATTGTAACTGCATTCTATACTTTTGATTGAGATAAGTCAATGACTGTACAGTACCGTGAAACCAAGGTGCTATCTGATCCATTGATTTTTCAGAGCCGGCTCGGAAATTGATCTGCTCTTCTTTAAACCATTGACCTATACTCTCCCGAGGAGAACTGGAGATAGAACTTTGTGAGCTCTGTTTTCTGCCATAACAAAAGAATAGGTGGTTGAAATATTTAGCGGGATATAAGTTCAGTTCCAATACAGAATTTTAAAAAACCACTTACACATTAGGAATGTGCATAAAAACATGCTAATCTTTAGACTAAAATATATTATTGAAAAAGAACGTATAGGATTAAAGATTATAGAAACATAAAAAGAAAATTAGAAAACCAAAAAAAGATACTGGTATGAAAAGATTGAGAAGTGAAAACAGTAAAAGACAAAGAAAGAAAAAAGAAAAAAAAGCAAATATATAAAGAAACGAGTTCTGAACTTTTATACAGCAGTTCCAAACATGATTATTACCATTTTTGCCCTTCCAAATTATGTAACATAGTTCCTTTCTTCACATAAACAATCCTTTTAAATCAGTAAATCCTGAAATCACCACTTGTTTATTCTGTTTGGTTTAGTGGCAGCAGTGCCTCAGATAAAAAGTCCATATAGAGAGTGGTAAGGACAGCTGAGAAGATTATAGGATATCCTGTTATTCAGGATATTTCTTATAAGTGCTATGTGCTTAGAGTTCGAAGTATTGTTAGAGACCCCACACATGCATTTCACGGTTTGTTTCTATTGTTCCCCTCTGGGAAAAAGTTTCAAAGATCTATAGTAAGACTACTAAATTCTGTAACTGCTTTTTTCCCCCTTATGTCATTTGTCTTGTAAACTCGCAGGATTCTTCCCCCCACCCCACCCCCATATATGTATACATTTGAACTAGACTGTGATGTTTCTCTGCGTCATATATTTTATTTGTATTTTTTTATTAGATTTGTATTGCCGCCTATTCACCTTGATGACTCAAGGCAGTTTACAACATATAAAACCATAATTTAAATCAATAAAGCTTGTAAAATCAATTAAATTAATATAGTAAATTCCCCACCTCCCCACCCCAGTGACAGCAGATTATACGAGCCATTTAATGGGCTCCATCACGCTCTGGGTTCCCCAGGCCCACTGGCAGAACCAGGTCTTCAACGCCTTCCGAAAGAGACAGAAGAGAATATATGTGTGTGTATGTGGGTATATGCATAATGGTTAGTTTTTTAGAGCTAAATGCAATGAAATTTCATTTTAATGTATGCTGATTAGTGTACATTTAAAGTGACAATAAAGTTTTTATTCTATTCTATTCATTTTTATGGAGGCATCTCTTCCTAACCAGAAGGTGAAGGCAAAGCTTCCAATGAGAGGTCCTTGGTGCTCTCTGAGCTTGCTTGTTTTCTTACAGATGTTTCATTATCCTAATTAGGTAACATCACTGTTACCCATATAACTAAGTAACACCACTAGCATTGATGATGCTACCTAGTAAGGGCAATGAAACATCTGCAAGAAAACAAGCAAGTTCAGGGAGCACCAAGGACCCCCTAATTTCAACCTTGAGCTATAAAGTTTCCAACATATAATTTTAGCAACTTGATCATAATGTTGTAGATTATCAGTCTGTGAAATTTTGCTGCAGCCACTGATAAAATGATCCACTGATTCATCTTTCTTATTGCATAAGCAACAATGCTGTGTGTTGAATTTTTGCTTTCATGGAATTAGTCTACAAGGCTTGTTCTTGAGCAGCCAAAATTAAACCTTCAATTTCTTTTTTCAGCACCCCTGATCTCAACCAGTTCCATGTTAGATTTGAGTCTACCTTTCCTTCAATGTCCTTCAGATATTGATTGTGCATAGGCTTCTTTTTCCACTTCATCAACTTCTTATCCACAAGCCATCAGTTGAGTTTGCCATAGCTTCATGGAAGTCTTCAGAAATTTCTTGATGTTGCTGCTAATTCCAAAAATGTCTAAGCATTTCTTAATTCAGCTGTCTGGAACAGAATCAAATCCTTTCTTATAATCAATCCCAAAGCAAACACAGTAACTGAGAGAGAAACTAAGAGTAGACCCTCATGCTAATTGAAAGCCTGGGCATGCTGCCAAAGGCAATTAACCCTTCCAACTCTATTATTCTATGTTCTCTATGTTCTAAATTGGGTGCTGCAGAAGCAATACAGCTGGCTGGACCACATATGCATTAAATTCACAGCCTGTTTGATCAAGCTGCATCATTGTTCCCTCCTGTATCTTTTACCCCAGTAAGAAACAAGAAGTAGCCAACACTGGCAGCAGCTATAAAAGGTGGTAGTGATGCGGTACGATTTTTGAAGAAGACTTGGACTAAGCTGGAGCCGACGACTGGAATTCTGATGCCCTGGTAATCTTTGAGTATAATTCTTTGGGGGCTGAGATCCTGACGACAGATGGAAGGGATTAGCTGTTTGAGGGTCTTCCAGGAAACCATCGAGAGGGACGACCCTGAGTCGACTTCCATCACGCAAGGTTGGTTCTCGATGGTGACCCTTACTCGGATCTTTCTTGCATCTAAGGATGAAGCGTGGCCAATGGTAATGGTTTGGTTTGTCTCTTCTCATCTCGTTGAGGTGGCAGGTACTTTATTTCTGTAGGAGTGGTTGTTCCATTGGTGGTTCAGGTGATCCCGGCTCACAGGACGATTTCCTGTGGTCTGGCGGTAGTTATTCTCCCTCTGGATTGAGCTGGGTCCTTGCTTGCTTCTACAGACCTTTGCGATGTGGCCTCTTTTCCCACAGGAACGGCAGAGCACGTCGAGGAATTTGCAATCTGATCGCGGGTGGTTTGCCCTGCAACCAGCGCTTTGGCGTGGTAATCTTTGGGTTCGTTGTTTTCGTTGGTCGCGTTCGGACCGGAGCCGGTTGACCTCTTCTTCTTCACTATCTGATGTGGATTCGAGATCCTCATGGTGTTTTTGCTCTGTTCCTGATCGTTAATAAAGAGTTGAAGTTCACTGTTCACAGCCTCGTCTCCGTTCCTTGCGCCCATGCTCAGAACTTAACATTGGCGACGAGGGTGGGATGCGGAGACATCAGAGCTGACTGAGCACGACAGAGCAACGAACAGAGCACGTGGCTGAAGAAGCACCGACAACGGCAAGATGTCCGGCGGTGCCATACCACCCACTCCATTTGACCCGGCTAACGAAGACTGGGACTCGTATATGGATCGGTTCCAGATGTTTCTGGAGACCAACAAATTAAAAGACGCTACGACCGGCAAGAAGCGAGCAATATTTCTAACCCATTGTGGGCCTGCCGTTTTTAAGATGGCGAAAGCACTTGCCAAACCGGCTGAGGTGAAGCCAATGGATTGGGACGCCCTCGCGCCCATCCTATGAGCCCACTATGCACCTGTCGTGCCAACGCTGGTTCGAAGACACGAATTTTACCAGAGGACCAACGGAAAGGCGAGAGCGTTGCAGATTTCATCGCTGACCTCCGGAACCTGGGTGGCCTCTGTGGGTTTTCAAACCTCGAGGAAGCCTTGCGAGACCGCATAGTTCTGGGATTAGATGACGACACGGTGCAGAGCAAGATCATGGCAAAGGGGGACATCGATCTTGCCGATGCCATCACAGACGCTACTGCAGCAGAAGCAACCAGGAAGTCGGCCGCCCGAATGCGCCGCACCAACGCACCACTCCGTAAACTCGCGAATGATACCTCGCCCTATATATTATCGCCAAGAATGACTCGCTGGTCAGAGTTCCTAGCTGCCTACAATGATCTACTGCAACATCGCCTGGGGAAAGCCATTCCCCACGCTGACGCTTTAAGCCGTTCCCCACTTCTGGAAGCCGTCAACGACCCAGCTCCAACCCTCACAACACTCCAAATTGAAACGCTACACTCGCCACCGCTCACGGCAAGAGACATCGCCATCGAGACTAAGCGGGATCCTGTCTTAGCACGAGTTCTCAGCTGGGTTGAACGAGGATGGCCACTCGACCAACTCCACGACAACTTCGTGCCGTTCAAAAACCGGCAGACAGAACTTTTCTCCCAGAAGGGCTGCGTTCTCTGGGGAGATAGAGTCGTCGTCACAGAGAGGCTACAACAAACAGTTTTAGAAGTACTGCATGATGGACATCCGGGCATTGTGCGTATGAAGGCGCTCGCAAGGGAGCTACGCGTGGTGCCCGGGCATCGACAAACAAATCGAAGCCTGGGTAACCACGTGCTGGAAGTGCCAAGACGTCAGCAACGCCCCACCTAAAGCGACGCCAACCGAGTGGGAAACCCCTCGGGGTCCGTGGTCCCACATCCACATTGATTTTGCGGGACCCACCAAAGGACACACTTTTCTACTAACAGTAGATGCCTATTCCAACTGGCTAGAAATACATAAAATGAAGACAACCACAACTGAATCAGTCATTAACAAACTGAACAAATTGTTCACAACGCATGGACTACCAGACGTTTTAGTTTCTGATAACGGGCCCCAGTTCACTGCTCTGCTTTTTGAACAGTACCTAGCAGACCGGGGCATCCGCCATGCGCTAACCTCGCCGGCACACCCTAAGGCCAATGGAAGGGCGGAGCGAATGGTACAATTTGTAAAAAAAACACTACAAAAAATGGATTCTGGAGACATCGACGACAATCTGAACTGAATCCTGCTTCTGCAACACATCACCCCACACAGCGTCACGAATAAAACGCCTGCCGAACTGTTAATGGGACGAAAACTTCGCTCCCACCTCGACCGTCTACATCCTTCTTATTCACCAGAAAAACCCTTCGGGTCTAGCGGGAAGTGCCACGAATTCAAGGTAGGCGACTTGGTGTTTGCTAAAAAAAATTTCGGCGACCCATTGTGGGTCCCTGCAACCATTACCCAACCCACCGGCCCCAGATCCTACCGCCTACAGACTAATGACGGGAGAACTTGGAAACGCCATATAGATCAGCTTCGCTCCAGATTGCCACCCATTTCCCGCGACTCCCCTTATTCGCAAACTGAGGGGGGAGGGGATATCGAGGGGCCCGAAAACGGAATAGATAATGATGTAATCAGGGAAACCCAGCATCCAACCCCACGAAGCGCGCCAACTGAAGAAGAATCAGGGAGCGGGGTAGCTTCGCCGCAGGGAAATACCACGAGGGAGGCAAGTCCACGGAACCCGGAAGTAACTCTTGGGGACTGGGATAACAACAATGGCAGCCACGCCGAGTCCTCCCGTACCGAAACGGAACCAACCGTACCAGAAAGACTTGAAAGCGTTCCACCGGAATCAGACTGCAGACAGAAACCGGTGGAACAGCGAAAATCAAACAGGCAGGTGAAACGACCTGCATATCTACGCGACTATATCACCATATCCCTCAAACGGAACCTAGGGGGAGGGGTGTTATGAACTAACATAAACGTATTTAATAAAGTTTAACAACCTTAATAGAAAAGCAGGCTCGTAATCCTGCACTTTTGATTGGTCCGTGAATAGCAAGCTGGGATTGGTCCTTACGGAGCAATCTTATTGGCTATTAGCGGAGCGTCTCTCATTGGGTACAATTTAAACATTTCAACGGAAGTCATTGGTTAATGGGACAGCAGCCAGCCCTATAAAAGAGCTGTTGCTGCCCAGGGTTTTTGCTCTGTTCATGTTCACAGCCTCGTCTCCGTTCCTTGCGCCCATGCTCAGAACTTAACACTCTTTATAATGAAAATGTTTGTAATCTTGTCCTTCTTCCTGAAGGGAAGAGGCTAATCCCATCCTTAGATGGGTGATTGATGGGTTTCCCTGCCCTAATGCTGTCAGTTTCTGTTGTTTATTGATTTGATTCAGCAGTGTATCGGGTGCATTCCTGCTGCAACTGTTAAGTGGTTCTTCACTATCTGCCCGGAGCTATTAACTGAAGGAGAGAGAGAGAGAGAAAAAAAACTCTCTAGCACTTTATTTGTTACCAGTTCTCTGAACTGCATAAGCAATTAATTAACAATTCGTTGAGAACTGGCTGAATCCCACCTATGCCACTGGTGCTTCAAACCCAGACAATGATGCCCAGCCACCACGAAAATGCCAGACATGACACACAAGCTGTAAAATGCTCAGGTCTGGCCTAAAATCTTTTGATTTTGATACCATACAATGATACTGTCCAATTAAATAATTTAAATCAGTGTATAATATTGCTGTTACAAGCAAGGTTTATTGTTCCCAATCCAATTTCATAGAACAATTCGAAAGGAAGAAATATGATATTCAGCAGACCATCTTGAGCTGTATGTGTCTTTCTCAGCAGTACAGTGACCCCCACCCTAAGTTACTAACCTCTCTGGTTTCCCATCGGCTATTTTAGCTGTAAGGTTTTTAGGCTTTGGTGGCAGAGGTGGAGGGAGTGGCTTTCTTTGCTCCTCTCTCTTAAAGATTTGGGAAAGATCAGCTGCTTTGTCCTTGTGGATGCCCTGTAATGACAGTCTCTTGTAGTCATCTCGTGCATGTTTGGCAAGGGAGCGTCGCTTTTCATCTGCTGCTTTGGACCTCTGTACTGGAATTGAAAGGAACGATTCACTCAGTCCTTTTTTCAAGATCCAGAAGCACCTATAGCTATTATGAAATCATGCCCACGAGAGGGATAAACCCAGAAATAATAAACTACATGTAAAATTATTCTGGTACATGAATGAGCTTCCATAATGGAGGAAGTTTCTGGGATAGCAGTTCAGAATCAGCTTTGAACTTGCCTGTTCTTATGACATTAGTTCAATTCCCAAGTATAGCTAGTCTGTTGTACAGAAGAACTGCTGTGTCCCCTACTTTCCCTTTCCCCTTTCCTTCTTTTTTTTTTTTCTGAAGCACTGCAACTCAGCAAAGCTTTTGGGGAGTCTATTCTCCATTGATGGAAACCCCCACTTCCCTTCACCCTTCTCTCATTCTAATACTGTTCTCCATGGTTTGAGGCTGACAATGAGTGATGAGAACCACATATCAGCTTCACAATACTTTTAAGGGATTGGGGAATAGAATGTGCAGTGGACACCTCGAGTGGTGGAGATGGCTTCAGTCTGATCAATGCTAGTACACTGCAACTTGGTACATTTGATTTACTCAACATAGCTCTCCAGATAGGTGGATTCTTGGAGGCTAAAAGTGTATAAAATTTGAGGGGAAAGTATTATTCTGTACAGTTGGCCTTGTATATCCTTTCTCCTTTCAAAATCATAAGCATGGTCACATAAAAGAGGCAATATTAGTGTGCCGCACAAGATTCTAGCCAAACGGGATCTTCTTTATCCGGTTTTTGAATTGATTCAGAAGGATAATCTAAAGTTATTTCTTCTCCTGTTATGGTCTTGCTGGTGGTTGTCTTCATTGGCATTTCTCTATTCTGTCAAAGATAAACAACAGTAATGATTTCATTTAATGTACCAATAATTTTCTTCCATGCTAATAATTCACATTTTGACTTCATAAATAGTTGCAGCATTTGATCTTATAAGAACCATATGTTTTAAATGTTGTCAAACTTAGTGATTTAACTAAAACTTAAATTGCAGATTAAAATTAAGGTTACCAGTTCCTCTGTTGACCTAGTACTTCCAAATATATTAATTTGGCCACAATGACAGGAAAGACACGGATTCATATAGAAGACGTTTTGAGGATCACTGGATGAAGGAAGGCTGCTCTGACACCAAGAATATGATACTTTGCAAACCATTTTAAGAATCAATGTCTCCATTTAATGATAGCTAATGCTTTTTCTTGTCTGAGCTGAACATTTTCCCATCAAAAGTCTAGCAGATAGTGTATGTTAATCAATAATAGTAGAAATTGGAATTGTGTTTGAAAAAAATGTGGTTGCTGATTCAAATATACCTGCCTTTTCTAATTTGGACCTTACATGTTTCACCAAGAAAATGTAATAGGAGAGTGCATCTCTAAAGTCTATTTTTTTCTAATAATAATAATAATAATAATAATAATAATAATAATAATAATAATAATAATAATAATAATAATAATAGTAGTAGTAGTAGTAATAATATCTTTTTCACAGCCCTCTGATGCCATCCTGCCACAATTTTGGCTACACCATTTACTGCCCTTTCCCCATCACATATAATAAACTAACAAGATCATCTGGAAATGTATTTTCATGAGTGCATGACGGGTTATTTTTTAACTGCACTTGGATTTAATTGCTTTCAGAAAATGGCATGCCTACTGAAGTGAAACGAACAGTTTTTTTGCATTGTATATGCCCATAGAGATTTGTTTTGTTTCCTTACCTTCTGAAAATTATATTTGCTTGAATTAGAGCAATAGCCTTCCAATATCTGCTCCACATCTCTTAGTTTAGTCATAGGAGCCTAAATCAATGAGATAGGAGTAAAGGAATGTTAACCTTCTTGTATTTATTTCCAGTTTATTGTAGATATGTGGAAAAAGGGAAAGAACTCACCATCATCTTGATTACTTCCCATACTTTTAGAATTAACATACAAGACAATGATAGCTTTATGAGTCAATATTCTTTCTAATTCTTTTCAATGAGTGTTTTTTTCAGTGAAGTCATTTTCTGCAACAGACCCATTTTATCAGAAATTTTTGTCTGAAAATACCTTTGAACTGAAGAGCCTTTGCAACAAAATTATAGTGGAAGATTTTCTTCAGTTCTATGTTTATTGACTTCAGCAAAGGATTGCCCAACCATTCCTCCAACTCTATTTACACTTTGCCCTACCCAAATATTTTTCTGCCTGCATGTTTGTTATCAAGTTACAGATGGAAGTAATCTCAAAGATGTAGAACCTGGTCTATTCTGAAATATTCCCCCACTTCTCTTCTGTTTTGACTGCAGGCAGTAGAGGAAGAGATTTTCCATTTGCTTCTTCCACCCATCTATTTTTTACACTTTCACAACTGTAACCCCCAGAGTTCTTATTTTGGAATTGACATCACTGAGGAGATGTAGCTGCAATTACTGAACACCAAAACAATGACTAATTGGTTACACAAATAGAAAGATAACAAAACCTAGAATTAGCAGGAAGGGGTAATTAAAACTGGACTCAGATTCTACTTGGAAATACATTACCCACATGAACCAACTTTCAATCCAACACAGCTGTAGAGGCCTGCATGCAATTTGCAGACTTTAAATGCATATAATTATTGAAAACTGGTGCTAATAATACTAATGCTAAAATGCATGTGACCAGAGAGCATATTATAAACACAGTAGATATCAAATTTCAGGGGGGGAAATCCAATGGTGCTTCAGAAACTCAAGAGAGTAAAATCCTTTGGTAGATCCTGCTTAATTCAAATGTCTGCCTACTTGGCAATTCATTTCATAATTTTCAGCCAATTATTATCTCTCAAGCTCATTCCTCACAGAATTTTGTGGAATGTAGAAGAAGTATACACTGCCCTGAATTCTTTTCAGCAGGTAAGCTTAAAAAAGAAAAGAAACAAATTAATATCTAAGTATTCAAAAGCAAACCACTCATGTTCACCCAGAGAAGAAGTAACGTTGCATTTAATACGCTAAACGTTAAATTTGCAAACCTCATTTCTGATCACTTTTCGAACTAGCTCATTAACTACTTCTAAGCTATTAGAGACTTTTTTATTGATAAGTTTGAAAAGGCCACTTGAATCTGTCTTCAATCCTGAATGAAGGACAATTTTAAGCATAAGCTTAAAAATTTAAAGAAACTGAAATAAATAAAGGCAAAAGTTTCTCCTCTCCAGCTGTGTCTGACTTTATAGCGTAGCACTCACTTCTGTTTCTTAGCCAAGGGAGCCCATGTTGTCCAAAGACACTTCTATGGATATGTGGCCAGCATGGTTATACACCAAGGGGCAAAGAACATTTACCTTCCCACTGAAATGGTACCTATTTATCTACTTGCATTTGCATGCTTTCAAATTGCTAGGTGGGCAGGAGCTGGAGTAAGGACAGCAGCTCATTCCATTGCACAGCGCTCGTGTTTTGAACTTGAGCTCTCAGCTTTCCAATTGACAAGCTCAGCATATTTAATTGCTGAACCATTGCACCTCCTCTCTGAAATAAATGGCAAAAAGCTAAATCAGACTTGATCTTAGAAAGTTATAAAAACTGGTCGAGTTAACAGATATGGCTAAATTGACTGCTCTGATTAAAGAAAAAAATATGAACACCTTTATTTCGACTTGGAAACCACTTCTGGACTTTGTGCTTGAGGTGGAAAAAGATGCAACATTGACCTTGGATTTTACCAATTAGATCAATTTGTTGTTACAGAAATGGCTAGTTTTTATTATTATGAAAAAGTTGAGCATAGATCTTAATGCCTTATTCAACTGCACAAAGGGGTTGGAAGTCAATGCCCTTTCTTTCTTTTTGTTTTTCTCTTTCTTTCCTCCACTATTCACTTCCCTTTTTTCTTCCCTAATTTCCCTAATATTTGCTTTGTATTCTCTTTGTATGTTATATTATAATCTAATAAAACTATAATAATAACAAAGAAAAGTGGATTTATAGCTGACAGCCAAAATAATGACTCAGAAAAGGATGTTTTACTGGATCTACAAAAAATCCCGATTTTAAAATTTAAAAGGAAATGCAAATGATTTTTGCGCAATTTGGAGAACCAGCTAATCGCACCACTGGCTAGCTCCACCCACCCCACCCGCCCTTCCCCTCCCAGTCCCTCCTTATCCTGCCTTGGCCATGGCATAGCAGCTGCTGCTGTCTGGCTCCCTTGCTTGCTCGCTCTCCTCGACCACGTGGCCACTGTGGCCCATCCCACTTGCCTGCCTTCACCCTGGCCTCCCACATTTCCCAGCTCCCTGCCAAGTCTTCCTTCACCATTCTCAGCTGCCTCCCATGCGGCCCAGCTACCTGCCTGTGAACGGCCTTCCGCCGCTGCCTCTTTGCTGGCCCAAACCACCGCTGCACCTGCCTCTTTGCTGTAAGCTGCTGCTGCCTCTTTGCCAGTGCGAATGGCTTGCAGCCGCTGTCACTTTGCTGGCGCAAACAGCCTGCTGGAGCTGCCTCGTTTCTGGTGTGAACGGCCTGCCGATGCTGCCTCTTTGCTGGTGCGAATGGCTTGCAGCCACCAATTCTTTGCCAGCACGAATGGCCTGCCTCCAACTCTTTGCCAGTCCAAACCGACACCACCTTGATGGCTCAAGCAGTGGCAGGCTGTTCACATTGGCAAAGAGGCAGCTGCTGCCTCTTTTCCGGCATGAATGGCAAAGAGGCAGCAGCTGCAGGCCATTTGCTCTGGCAAAGAGGCAGCACTGGCAGGCCTCTCAAGCCAGCAAAGAGGCAGTGACTGCAAGCCATTCACGCCAGCAAAGAATCAGCAGCTGTAGGCTGTTCGCACTGGCAAAGAGGCAGCGGCGATGTCAGTCCAATATCTCGGGGTGGAATCATCCCCAGCTGCACCAACAAAGGCCCAAAGTAACCTTCTGCCATTTCCTGCTGCCTACCGCCCCTGTCCCATTTTTTCTTTTATTTTTCTTATATGTATCCATGTATTTATAACTATGTTTTTACTTATACCTATTATCTTATAAGCAATTGACAAACCAAATAAAATAAAATAAAATAAAACCCTATCAGGCAGCGAGACCCAGCAAAAGATGAGGAATCAGAGAATCACCGTTGCTGTTGCTATACAAAGGTAAATCTAAGATTCCGGCCATCGCCACTGCCACTTCAGCCCACCTGTGCTGCCGCCCCATGTTGCTGTGAGTGACATCAAGTTGACCAGTCCCATTCAATTACATGACCACCCAGTCATTAGGAAGAACCAGTCGTTAAATTGGTTGAATCCCACCACAGCCCTTTATGAACTTTCTGCTGACACGAGGACTGAAACGTAATGCTGCATGGAATTGTTTATTGAAACGAGATGGGATATGGGATGAAATGATAAATATTTGTAAGCTAAGAGGGAAGAAAGAAGTCAAGCCCTAGGCCTCTGTAATGTGGGGTGCCTCAAGGCTCTCCTCATCTTCTTTAACATCTATATGAGACCACTGCAAGAGGCCCTCCAGCAGCACAAAGTATGGTATCATCAATGTGCTATTTTTATAACTGTTAATCAATTATATATCTCAACTTCTAGACAGTAATTTTCATATATAATTTTTACTAAGAATTTTGACTAGTAACATAATAATAATATAGTAATTGTAACATCTAATACAAACTAATAGAGAATAGAAAGGAGTAAAAAGTGCAAGAAAAAACGAGAAGAAAGAGAAAGTAAGAATATAATACAGAAGTATTATCTAAGTAAGAATATAAACAGAAAGAATATAATAGAGGAAGTAAGAATATAATAGAGAAGATATTATATATAAGGGGTGTGTGTGTGTGTGTGTGTGCACGCGTGTGTCTGAGAGATGCTGAGAGTATTTCTCATGGTGTTCTTCCTTATCCAGAAAGAATCTGGTCACCCTGAGCAGAGCTATAGATCAACTATCTGTATATGCAACAAAAAACAAAGAAATGAGCTTGCTTCACCACTCTTATGACCATGAGTGAAGTTTGTTTATTTATTTATTTACTTACTTATTTATTTAATTTATTTTTGTCAATTGTTTACAAGATAATAGGTACAAGTAAAAACATAGTTATGAATACATGGATACATTTAAGAAAAATAAAAGAAACAATAGGACAGGGGTGGTAGGCACGTTGGTGCGCTTATGCACGCCCCCTACAGACCTCTTAGGAAAGGGGTGAGGTCAATAGTAGACAGTTAAAGTTCTAAGAAAAATTATCCCCTGTGCTCAGTTACCCTTAACTCTTGTTGCTCTCTTTCCCCCAACCTTACAGTTGAGTCTACATCCTTGGGATTATTTGGAGATGATCCTTCCAGCTACTAAAAGGGCCCAATTCTGGTCAGCTTTTTAAAAATAAGCTTTGGCTAGCTAGGTATTGTCAGCTGTTTTTGACCGCCAAAGGGATCATGGAAACATTTTGCACTAAGTCAGATGCTGTTGAGATACTATTCTTCTCAATATATATATTGAGTTATTATGTTCTTTGAGATCCAGGGTTCACACTGTACATTAAGCTTATTTTATAGTTTGTGATAGGAAATAAAAACAACCAAAAACCCAAAACCCAGCCCTAACACATTTAACATAAAGAAGCTTTTTCTTAAAAAGTTTGCAGGAGATTCCTCTATTTTTTTTTATTAAACAAATTTTATTGATTTTAAAGACAAACAAAACATAAGACATCAAAGTATAAAACCTCCTTTCTCAAAAATTACTTATAAGTTTTAACAAGGCAAATAAGGCATTATTTTTTAAAGCATAGTTCCACATTATCACATTTCCATTTAAACACATATATATCTTTTCCAAATTTCTCATTATTTCTCCCTTCACTTTTATTCAATTATATTTCTTTCTATCTAGGTTTTATTAATTCTCCATCAAGCATAAACACACAAAATACAGATAAAATAGATAAAACCTTCTTAATTATTATTTATACATGTCTTTTCCAAATTTCTCTCCCTTTAGTTTTATTCCTCCAAGGTTTTATTAATTCACAATCAAAACATAGCTAACCAAAACACAAAACATAAAACATAAAACTTCTTTTGAAAAGTGGCTTAGCCCCGGGTTACATCTTTTTTGACAGACCTAAATCAAGTTCGTGCTCACGTTATATACCATTCATATCTTATTAACCATTCTATATTTTCTATATAACTTCTCCCTTCCTTTCACTCTCTTAGTTATATTTTGTTTATTTCATCTTATTTCAGAATCATTATGTTTGTATCTTTTGTCTGTTCTTTTCCAATCATCTATTTATCTCTTCTCTTTAGCAAAAGAATTTCCCCTGTAATCACTTTTAAGGTGTGATGCCTTTCCCTAAAGTAACACTTAAAATAATACATAATTTCTATCCTGATTCTGCTTAGTACATTCTACATGTTGCATTTTGAAAAGAAAAAGAATAATAAACTTATAATATAATTAAATATATAATTTCCATTCTAATTCTAATTCTATTAATAGTATAACTAAACATTAATCATTTTACACATTCTCTTTGATATTTTATTAAATATGGACTATTTCAAATGCAAATACTACAATACTATCTTATGTACTCTTGCAGAATCTTTCTTAAATTATACATCCTTTATCCTTTATCTCTAAAAAAAATATCTTGTTCCAGACCGTGGCTTTTTTCCCCTTTTTCCCTCCCTTTCTTCTCCAGTCTGATCTTTTTGCCCCCCCTTCTCCTAACCTCCACCTTTTTAGCTTCCCCTCTCTGTTGTAATTCTCTTTTCAATTGCTTTCTAACATTGTACCTTTTTTTCACCTTATTTTTCTTTTTCTTGGTTGTTTTATTAAATCTTAAATTCTCATTTTTCCTTCCTCTCTTCCTATTTTCTTTATTAATCGAACTTTTTTGTCCATTAAAAATGGCTTCCTTTTCTTTTTCTTCTCCTTCTCCTTCTTCATCAAGTATTTGCTGGTAAGTAGAAACCGCCATTTCTAAAAAGTGGAAGACAGCTCCCAATGAGTTCTTGCCATTTGGTTCTCTTTCTTTTAATTTTTCATATTCCATTTTTAGTTGATCCAGAGATGGTGCCATTGTAAATTTTTAAAAACAACCCAGATGTTTTTAGTCTTAAGGTAATTTGCAAATGTCAAAGTTATCAAACAATCCAAACAGCCAGAAATTATTTCCTCTTCTTCTCTTTGCAACTTTTCCTCCTGGGGCAAAACCCCAAATATATTTTAAAGCCGTATTACAATTAGTTGTTGGTCTTATAATCTTCAAAGCGTCTCCTCCAACCAGTTTTAAAAGATTTTTTTTTAGTCCTCTCCTTTCCACTTATAACAAAGAGCTTGTTTTTACCTTAAAGCAGCAGGTTTTTCAGTGCTCATTTGCTTTCTCCGTAAGGAAGGGGAGTGAACTTTCCTTTCTGCACTTTCGCCGTTTTAACAACTCCTTTTGGAAACAAATGTATCAATCCAAAAGTCAGGTTTCCGGGGTGTTTAAAAGTATCTTAATGTCCCGGTTCAGCCAAGAAAACTTCTCCTTCTGATTCTTCCTCCTGCACAACTCTTATCCGCTTGAAGATTCCTATGTGGCTGCCATCTCTGACAGCTGCTCCACCGCCTCAGGAAAAAGGAGTCTAGCCGGCTGGGGAAAGGGGGTGCGATATCTCCAGACCCCTGCCCGGATCTCCTCTGCCTTCCGCTGCCTCTTAGGGGCAGCGACAACCCCCAAATCCAATTGGATCGGGGGTACCTCAGCGGCGAGCGCAGCAGGGACCCACAGAGAAGCGGATTCCTGCCGCCGCCGAAGCCTTGCAACCCGAGATTCCTCTATTTTATACTCCCTGTTGATAAACCATTATGCTTATAACCATTATAAGATTGCATTCATGGCTCACTAACTCAGAGCTTTTTTCAAGTGTTTTCTTCCAGTTCTTGATTACCTTCTTTAATCAGTGAAGGGAATAAATGGTCCTGTTTTCCCCTTATCTACCAGCCCAGGTGACCTAGGAACCAGCCTCCTTCACAAATATGCATTTGTTTTACCCATTAACATATAAGTACATTAGTTCTAGTAAGTGATTTCACTGAAAATCTACTCTTGACAGAGTATTTCCTGCTTTTATCTAAAAGGTAATATGTCTACTGTAAACTCCAATGAATTACTATTCAATACAAGTAAAAATAAGTAATAAAAATTCTTTGAAAGAAAGATTGTATCTAATTTTATATATTAAATGGTTCTAGAATAGAGAGAAAATTAAAAGTAATGAGGGTAATGTTCCTCCCCAGTTAAGTAGCCCTCTTTTTAGTGCAAGCTGGTGCAGCCATGAGGTGGGAAGTTGTACCTATAATCTCAATCTTGCAGGACCACTCGATATTATTTTAATTGCAAATGTTGAAACAGTTAATATTCAAATAATTCTGCTGAGTGATGATTTCAGGGAAATTAGTTTAGTCCTCCAACAGATTTAAACTCAATTAGCTGGGCTGATTATCTTGAATTTTAGACTTTGCATGACAACTTACTCCTCTGACCCAATTAAGTATACAGTGAAAATAAAACTATTTTATGTCATTCATTTATATATTAATTAAAACTATTATTTCCTGAATGCATAATATTACACTGCAGCAACAATTTTTGATACAACTGTGTCACCTGTAATGGGAAAAGGCAGAGGTTGAGCATTATAGCAAAAATAAGCTTTTTTAGTTTAACCTGCTGTAGCAAACAAGCAAGTTAAGTAACTCATAAAAGCAACGTTCATTGGATTTGCAATGGAATTCTTTCCCTCTCGGCTAACTTTCATTTTAATATTTGTGTACTAAGAAACAAAATTACCTGGATACATTCTAGATTTCTGTGATTTCCAACAGCTGGTGTGTTTTCCACTCTCTTTGGTACATCTCTTTGAACAAAAATGTTATTGTCTCGCAGTATTTCAAATCCAGATTCTGATAGAAACTGTGGAGGAGATGATACCAAACTCTCTGTGACTTTTTCCATTGGTGGTGTTCTATAAAATAAAAAAGATAAAACTTTTTCAAGGAAAGAAGCTTTGCAAACAACTTTGTTTTTTACCTGCATGTGCAGCAAAATACAGGAAGCTGCAATAGGAGTTAATGTAAAAAAATGTTTACAGGCAGCTATATCTCTACCTTCATATCCTCAATCTGGATATTACATAGTCCTAAAGTGGTACACTGGTTGGCTGGCCTTTAAATTATCCAAGATACACAAATCACTGTTAATATTTTCCCACATTTAGATTATATGAAAGAGTCATATGAATATAACTGAAATTGCTTGCTTGCTTCCTCCCTCCTTCCCTGCAATCAGTGGCATTTCTGTTATAGAAACTATTGATGGCCTTGCTATGAAAATTACAGAACCGGGCCTCTATGACAACACCAGTTTCATGAAGTTAGATTTAGAATTGGATATTGGAGAAAAAGATTGAATGTCCTTTCCCTCAGCATCTGCATTTGGACTAAAATGTCAATCACTAGCAGCTGCATAATTGCAGTTATAAAAAATAATGGGAGACTTCTAACACAGAACTTCTGTGTGCCTCAAGGATCTGTCAACAATCCTGCCCACTAAATAATGAACTCCTGTTTTATTTAATCACATTTAGGGTTGTTCTTCCTGTCTTATTCAACATTTCACAGTTGAAATTAAGGATGAATGGTGCCCTCCTGTCTGTCTTCTTTCATTCCACATTCTTTAAGGTTCTTGTCAGTCTGCTGTGTAGTGACTTCATTTAACTTACAAAATTCTACCCTATATGCTATTTCCTGTTCTTCATCTGATCTTGGAGCACTTAGAGGAAAGAAATACTCATGTGTAAGTGTTATTTGTGGACTTTAGTTCAGCATTCAATACAATCATTCCTCAGCATTTAGGTAGATAAACTTGGTCATTAGGCTTCAATACTTCTTTGTGTAACTGGGTTCTTGATTTTTCTCACTAATAGGCCCCAGTATGTGTGAATTGGGACTAATTTTTTAACACCATGTTCTTGAGCACAGATTCCCATCAGGGCTGTTTCCTAAGTACCTCCTGATCGATACCTGCTACTAACCATATTGTGAAGTATGCTGATATACAACAGTGGTGGGATGATAAGGAGAGCAGTTACTGGGAAGAGGTAGAGTGTTTGATGAACTCGTATAATAAAAAGTCTGGTTTTAAATGTAATAAAAAACAAAAGAGATCATTGTTGATGTCAGAAAAGTCAGGCACAGCCATACACCTTTGTATATTAATAATTCAAGTGTGGAGGTGGTTAGTAGTATCAAGTTTCTGTGTGCAGCAGTCCAGCAGGTTAACTTAGTTACTCTATCAGTGAGACCCTGGTGAAGAGGGCACAGCAGCACCTGCATTTTCTGCATATGAGAAGATGCATCTTCCTTCCCAGTGGTGGCATTCAGCTGGTTCTAGAGAACCATTTGTTAACTTTCTGAGCAGTTCAGCCAATCAGTTGTTGGAAGAAATCTCCTTCCAATAGCCTTTTGTTTTTCCCACTTTACAGGGCTAATCCTGTCAGGAAAGCAGGAAGGAAACATTCTGGTGTGTCTCTGTGTTGTTTTTAGCTTAATCCTTATCTTTATTGCCCTGCTTAAGTATTTTCAGAAACTGCATTTCCTTTTGTTACATTGTAACAGCTAACAGTTCTTGGCAGCATGTTCAGACTAGCCGGAGCTGCTTCTCTGGAGGGTTTTTTTTTTTTTTTTTTGCTGATACTTTATTTTTTAAAAGGCTTTTTACATTGCTTGGGGTGTACTTCCAAGAGGCAGGATGCAAGCTTGACACTATCTGATTTATTTACTGTCTTCTGGGGGCATATGAACTTTCCTTAAATTTGAATGGTTTCCTTAGGATATCTTGTGAGGTGAATGAGACTAGCTAGTATTTTTAATTGGTGCAAACGGATTTAAGGATTGCTTCTCCTGGGTGTGAAAGGGTGCTTTGTAAGTTCACTGAGCACAGGAATCTCTTGTCTATGGGGATTGCTCAGTCATCCAGGTCATGGTTGTCCAAAAGGTGCTTTTTTCAAGAGTGTTGGAAGAAATATCCATGGGTTCAGTTCCAAGTGGGGAGAAAGACACTGGAAACATGGAGGGTGATTGGAAAGATGGTTTATTGGTGAACAGGACCACATGGGTTTGAGGTCCTGGGGAGATGACCAATTGGTTTGATGAGTACATGGATTTTTATACAGTTTGTTCTAAGCATTTTGTAATTTAGAGGCTTGTTTTGTGTATTTTGTTATTTGATTTTAATTAGTTTGTTTCACAAAGGCCAGCAATGAACTGGGGGGGGGGTTAATCTTGTTTAACAAATGTAATTAATCCTAGATGCTGGTTTCCTTGGGGTTTTAATCCTGTTTTGAATGGATTACCAAATCAGCATTTTTAAAAGGTAATCCCCTCAGTTTCTTTGGGGCTATTAAGAAAGATTGAGTCTGTTTCCTGCCTTTTAAGAGCATGTTTCTCTATTTCTCATTTAGGGAAATATAATTTTCTGCCTTTTTAATATTTCATTCTTCTGGGAGGAGGTTGCTAACTTTCTACAAGAGGCAACTTGGTCTCCAGAAAGTCCAGTTGCATCTTGAAAAAGCACCTTTGGGACAGGAGTCTCTTTCATTGCTTCAGAGTGGCCAAGGCACATGATTGCTCACTGATAGTAAGGTAAAAAAAAAAAGGAGGTAGGTGTGTGGATCCTTCAATTAATTTTAGTTTTCTCTCATGATAATAAGGCTTAGTAACATGCCACCAGACTTGAAGTTTATTTAGATATCTGTGGCATGTACTAATTTTATTGTGATCCACAAGCATGGGAGGGCAGAGACTTGAACCTGGGTCCCTATATACTTTGTTAATTTGTCTCTTTATTTTGTAGCCCAAGTGTGCCCGCCCACTTTCTGGAGAGCTTAAATGACCTCTCTGCTAAATGAGCAAGAGCAAAGATAGTTATCATTGCATTTTAACTATTTTAATTCCTCAAGTTGCTCTGGCACCCTGCCTGATTTGTAATTCTGGCTTGCAGGTATTGCTGATAAAAAAGAAGGTATTCAGACAGATTGGCTTAGGTTTCCATGATGACTATGGCTATCATTGATCTTCAGTGTGTATACCTCCATTTCTAATGTAATGATTGATATTTAGGACAGCTTTTTGCAACAAATAAGTTTTTTGTATTTTTGTACAGGTAATCCTTGACTTACAACAGTTCATTTAGTGACCATTCAAAGTTACAATGCACTGTAAAAAGGAACATATGACCATTTTTCACACTTAGGACCGTTGCAGCATCCCCACGATCACAAAAGGCCAGATGAGGCAAAGTGTCCCTTGACGGGAGTGACGTCAAGTGGGCCACATCCACCCAGTCACATCATCAGCCAGCCATTCCTACCCAGCTGGTAATTACGGCAGAAAACCAGTTGTTAAATTATTTGAATCCCACCACTGTTCCTTCCACTGTCTTTACCACTTTCTATAGAGGAAAAATTAAAAACATCCTATGATATTGTATTATATATTGCATGTGTGTGTGTGTGTGTGTGTGTGTGTGTATGTATTAAACAGCTGTCTGAACATTTACTCTCCTATTCTTTTCAGTATCGGTGTGTAATTGGAGACTATAATGTGGTAGTAACCCCACAATTGGACAGATCAGCGGGTAAAGGAATTAAACAAACACAAGGGAAATTGCCCCAAACTTTTTTCAAGCTGGATGATACTTTAGGTTTAATCGATGTTTGGAAATATAAAAATGACCTAACAAAAGACTTTGCCTTTTTTCAGAGAAATCCTTTTCTAGAATTGATATGATTTGGATTTACAAAACAACCAAATCTATTATTCTTCTAAAAACTTTTTCTGACCATAATTCATAAGATGTGACTTTACATCTTAAATTTGGTCCTCTTAAATGGAGATTAAATGAGACCAAAAATTGTTAAAGAATGTAAATAGGTATTTGAAAACCATTTTAATAATAATTTAGGTAAGAGAACAAATTTGACAATAAAATGGGATGCTTATAAGGCTGTGATAGGAGGATATTGTATACAGTACAATAAAGTAATTAAGAGGAAAATGGAAGAAAAAAAATCCAAAATATGTTACAAGAAATTAAATTAAAGGTGAGGGAACTCCAGAGCTAACCAGAAGATTATAACATATTTAATCAACTAAAAATATTGCAACAACAAATTTCCTTGTTAATTGTTTCAAATATTGAAAAGAAACTTAAATATATGAAACAACACTTTTTTGAATATGCAAATAAACCAGAGAGATAGTTGGCAAATAAACTAAGACAGAAAAGATGATAACCAAGCTTCAAGAGGGGAATAAGACTTACATGGATAACAAAAACCTTCAAAGACTTGAATTGAACAGTCCAATAACAACTTTTGAAATAATAGAAGCCATTAAAAGAGCTAAAACAGGCAAAGCTCTCAGACCAGATGGCCTACTGAGAGGATTCTATACATTTTTTGAAGATCAATTACTTCTGCCTACATTTCTTTAATACCCAAAGATGGACTGGATTTAACTGCAGGGCAATCTCCTTAATAATGACTACATCTATTTTAGCTGAAATATTTTAAAAAGTTTTACAGGATTATATACGTAAAGACCAGTATAGCTTCTTACCTAAAAGATAATTAAAAGATAATGTAAGAATAATTTTGAATATGATTGAATATTTATGACAATATAAGGACAAACAGGTTGCATTAATTTTTTTGGATGCAGAAAAAGCTTTGGACAATTTGAAATGGACCTTTATATTTAAAGCATTGGAAAAAATGGAATTTGGACTGAGCTTTATACAGATTCTGAAGTCTATCTATACGCTCCAGAAAGCTCGAATCATGATGAATGGAGATTTTATAAAATCAGTTGAAATCCAGAAGGGAACAAAACAGGGGCGTCCTTTATCTCCTTTATTCTAGTGTTGGAACTGTTAAATAGAGATATTAGACAGGATACCAGAGCAAAAGGACTACAAATTAAATTCCTTTTAATGACAGATTTGGTGTATTTGTTTTCATTTTTGGAAGACCATACTAACCTTATTGTCTCTATTTGCTGAAGTGACTGTTGCTTCACGCTTTCAGCAAGAATCTCACTAGCCAGAAGATCATATGGTTTATCCAGCCTGTGTTCTCCCATTACCCATACCCAGATATCACCATCTGCACCAAGCTTCCACTGCACAGATTTTCCATGGTCTGCAAGATAACATATAACTGCTTTTACATCAGTGAAATTAGCAGTAATCTACAGTATGTTCAGTCTATTAAGTTCCTCTACCATCCATGTCCACTTCCATCTAGTTGACTCTTTAATGGAATAGCAAAGTGGCCTCCAATATTTTACAAGCTCAAATGAATTTAGAAATTATATAAATTCCATAAGGGATTCAAAGGCACCCATTTAGCAGTTCCATTAAAAAAAAAAAAAGTCAAAAGGAGATCTAATATTTCTGTACTACTATTTTAATAGATATAAGGAAAATCTATTCAGAGACTTTTGAGATTGTTGATAGAATAAACGAAGCCAAAATACGTGAACTAACAAATATCTTAGTAGTTTCATCCAGACAGAAACTTTGTTTTAGTCACTGACCAATAAAAGTACATGATCCAATCTTGGTCAGTCACAGGGACCAGAGATTTTGTCTTCCGAGCTTTCAGACTCTTGTTGGAGCCCAGTTTGGAAGACAAAATCTCTAGTCCCAGTGAGTAACCCATATCTGATCCTGAAATATGATCCTGGGACATATATATTCACCTTCATTCATAATAAAAGTACAAACAGTAAAATAAACAATACAAAACTATCCCATAACAATAAGAACTATTAGCAACTATTATGAGCAAAGCTTTCAAATAATAAATTTATCTTGATTTCATCCATACACCTGTTGCTCCAGTATTAATATGGGCTAGTTGATTAATTAATGCACTAAACTGAATGCTGGTATAAAATAATGATAGGGTGAATCAGAGAACAACCATTGTGTTGCCTTTGCATATAGATGTATTCTAAATTCCAAAGATACCATATAGACTTTAAGCTGATAGTTCTGCTCTTGCATTCATTTGCCTATTTATTACAATATTTTTTTCTAACTTAATTATGGTTGAGATGGTTGCATTCTTGGACTGATAACCTTGCGGAAGTTCTGTAAACCTTGTTTCTAAAGGCCACATACTTTACTTTACTAAACATAAACATTGTCCTATTTCCTCCATTCTTAAATACTGATATCTCATAAATTTATTATACACACACACACACACACAAACACACACATATATTTTCATAGATTTTCACGGGTACATATGCAGGTCTTGGCATGTTCGGGTCTTCTCAAACACAACACATGAGGCGGATAGACACACAGCCAATACCTCAGCCACACATGTTCTTATAAAAAAGCCAGCCAATCTGCAAACATCAACTCCAACCAATCAAGAACTGACAACACAGCCAACCTCCCCACCAGTATATATACGGAGAGGGCAGCTCCCATCACACTTTGCACGAAGTCGAAAGCACCAGCCTGAAGATGGCGAGTGGGACCTCGTCGAAACGTTGCCAAGATACTCTCAATCTTACATGGGAGAAGACCTGAACACATTTTTTTTTACTACCGGTTCTGTGGGCGTGGCTTGGTGGGCGTGGCAGGGGAAGGATACTGTAAAATCTTCAGACAGAGGTGGCATTTGCCGGTTTTCCGAACTACTCATAATTTCGGCTACCAGTTTTCCAGAACTGGTCAGAACCTGCTGAATACCACATACACACACACATACAAAGAGCCTCTCTCTTTAAATAAGAAATATTCCATCCTAATTTTCATTTTTATAGTCCATGTCAATAATTAACCTCTTAATGTCCCACAGTTTCCCTTCAAATTTGTCTCTTAGCCAACAATTTGGCTTGAAAATCCTGCCCTTGTTTTAGGAGGATCAAAGTAAGTTGTTTGGGGAAAACAAGAGAAAGCTGTGCAAAAAAAGAAGAAGAAGAAGAACACAACCCCATTGGAGTCAGCTACTGATTCATATAACAATAGACTATTTAGTTGAGATAAAATATAGCACAAATTATTTTCACTTCTTGTCTTTACAGTGCAAAACAGTTAACAAATTCATTACCTCCATCTCCCTACCCCCACCATTTACCATAAAGTGACAGACCATGTTTCATGATAAGTTAATTATATCTGGATGCAGGAAAGAGTGAGAAAAGGAAAAATGGGTCTGAAGGCTGAGTAACTCATCTGGTGAACCAGATGCACTTGATATGGCTTAAAGCAGTGGTGGCTAACCTTTTTGGGCTCCTGTGCTAAAAATTGCGCGACCGCACATGCCAGCACCCAAAAGGCAATGCGCGTGCCCCCTCACGCCCCTTGTACATGGACGTGCAATCCCCCCCTCGCTGCCCCCTTACCTGCATTGGGCATGCTCGCACCTCCCAGCTGATTTTTGGCCCATTTGAAGCCATTTTTGGCCTCCCAGAGGCTTGAGGGAAGCCTCTGCAGCCTCTGGAGGCTGAAAAATGGGCCCGTTTTGTCACTTCTGGTATTTCCAGATATACCGGAAGTGATAAAATGGGCCTGTTTTTTGGCCTCTAAAGGCTGCAGAGGCTTCCCTCGAGTCTCTAGGAGGCCGAAAAGGGCCTCAAACAGGCCGAAAATCAGCTGGGAGGAGTGCGTATGCACAGTGAGGTAAGTTTGGCTGGGGCTCGCATGCCGGCACAAATGGCTCTGCATGCCACCTGTGGCACATGTGCCATAGGTTCACCATCATGGGTCTATAGCCTGTCTACAATAAATAAAAAAAAAGCGGCCATGGTATAGTTGCTTTCTGTTATCTGCACTGAAATTTCTGCTTGCCTTAAAGAATGTTTGTGCCTGCCATGGACCTCTCTTTAAAAAATATCCGTCATGGCAGTGTCAATAAACTTAATCTAGTGCAGCTTGATAGCAGATTAAGTAGAGAACCAATTTGTCTAGAGCTGCTTCAGGCCAGCAATTTGTAATTCTATTATTATAATAGCAGAATTACTATACCAGATACATTCTAGCATTTAATGAGGAGTGATCTGTTTGTAAAATCATGGGCAATTTATATTAGTGGAAAAAACAAGATTTATTCTTTTTTTAAAGTTGTGTTACTTCAGTACTTGATTGCTTCAAAACTCATCAAATTTGGTACTCAAAGCATTTTGGCATGAAAATGTTGTTCTGGTTTTTGTCATTTGTTTGGTATTTGATGTGCCAAAGAGGGGGATGACCATGGAGAATGGACAGAAAATTGGCTATACCATAAAGATCACTGCAAAAGGAAGTGGGGGACAGCTGCAGAAGACAAACAGGAAATCGACCATGCTGGAAAGGTCACTGACATAGGAAAATGGATAGACAGGAAGTCTTTCCCAACTGAAACAAAGGGTCATGTGGTAAGTCATGTGGTTGTTTGTATTCATCATTTTTAGTACTCCTTGTGCCTTCTAGAACCAATTATCAATGACTTCTGAGGTTACCACTATATTGTAAAACATAAATAGTATATTTTATTATTTGAGTATAATGGTATTTATACAATATTGATTTGAGATTATTAACACTTTACTAATTTAACAATTTAGATGGCTGAAGCCTTTAGAGATAAAGTTTATGTTAGTATCAAATTTTGCATCCAAAGATAAATATGACTTTAATAAGCAACTGCAAAATGCAACAAATAATTTGTTAGTAAAGTCTCTATTGTATTATTACTTATTGTTTGTACATATTAAAGGTTTTAATATTCTAAGGTTTTTTCATATGGTAAAATGTTATTTTTATTTCAAGGCATTTCCAACATTTATTATAGTAAGGTACATCTATCTTGAACATTATTAAGTTGCATACCAATTTTAATATTTTGTACTAATTTTTTTAAGATTTTTTTTTAGATTTTATTAATTTGATCCATAATTCTTCCCACTGTTGTATTTTTATACTGCTTTTTATTTGTTCTATCATCTTTAAGTAGGGATATATACATATATATGCCCTGGCAGATGTTTTTTGTTTGATATAAGCACTTTGAATTTCTTTTTTCTTAATATCCTTCCATTGTTCTTAAGATCAGATTTTATACTTCTAGCAATTTATAAATACATCAATCACAGTACATTCTGTTCTTCACTGAATAATTCTTGTTGTGCCTTCTATTCATTGAATCTGAATGGGCCTTGTCTGCATATGTAATTGCATGTTTCTTACTCTGACTCCAACACTGAAGGCATTCGAAGAAGAGGTTAATGGTGCAATTGTTGGGCATATTATTTTCTTTATATAATGCCATGCTTTTATCAAATTATAGCTAATTATTTATTCTATCTTGCTTGAGGGCCTTGTTGGGCTTACTAATATTGACATAAATTATTCTTCCAAGAAATGGAAATCATATTATATAAAAATATAATATTAAATATAATTTACATAATATCAATATATTTCAGACCTGAGACTGCATTCATAATTCTCTAGTTCCATCTCTAGTTAAAGAGACCCCAAAGTAATAGAAATTATAGTATGGGTTGTTAGTTAAAATGAGCAACACTTATAGACATAACTTCTAATTAAACATTTAGGCAGATGCTGGTCATGAAAAATACTATTATCCAAACCCTCAATTATCTTAGCTGTTATTTCAAAGCCATCTGCAAAACATCTTCATGAAATTAGATAGTGAGAAATCCCTCTATCACAACTAATTGGTATCTTAAGGGAAGGGAATTTAAATGGTCCTGCTTTATATCACAAATTCCATGTTTTATGGTACATAAAACTGGTCAATGACCTAAATAAAGTCCATTGATTTTGACCAACACAATATGTTTTTTTAAAAAGTCTCCTGTGAAAATGGGATGTCCTCAGCGGCCACCACCTCCCTGCTGCCCATTCCAACCGCTACCGCTGTTCCTCCAGCCTCTTTGTCCCAGTGGCAGGGGAGGCGGTGGGAGGTATGAAAATGGGAAGCCACCAGCTCCCACTTGCCTGTCTGCCCATCTAGCTCTTCCTTCTGCCACCCACAGTAAGTGGTAACTTGGTGTCTGTGAGTGGGCAGAGGCAACTTGGCAGTCTGAATGCAGTTTCTATTCATTTTTACTTCTGAACAGTGAGAAATAGAAACAAAAATCACTGTAATACCCAAAAATTCTGAAGTGATAAAATTCCATCTAACTCCAACTTCAGTATTCCACTGAAAAGAATAACATGTTCCACACTGTAAAGAAGGGGGCAAAGCATTTAAATTTGATTTTCTAGGCCAGGAAAATGACTTCCAAAGTGACTCATTATGACCTCTGTTATTTGTACTTTTGAATGGAATGGGGTGGGGGATGCTGGAGAGATAAGCTGGGGTGAAAAGGTAAATAAATTTGGCTGATTCCAACTTTACCATAGGGATTGTGTGCAAAGTAATAGGTTGCTAATTTTTTTATTGCCTGTTTTTTTAATATGGATCATGCAGGACACTATGATAGTTGCAAGCTTTACTTTTTGGATCATACCTTGCAGCCATCCCAATGAGATCTTTTTCCTGTTGATTTGTTACTACAATCAACAACCTGATTGTTGAGAAAAGTGCTTGGTTGCAACATACGTGACATAATATCATATCACAATCAATGGGATTGGCTACCAGGAAGCCTCACCACATTGCAAATACTCCTTATCTTCACCTATTCCTTTCTACAAAAAACCTTCATATGTACATGTACTAGGATATGAAAGGGCAATGCTAGCACTTTACAGTATCTCGTTTCCTTTTTCTGTGGAATAATGCTTATTGCACCAGAAGCAGCTCAGGTAGAAAGCTCCCTATTCTTTTTTCAGGCTCCTCTTGGCCAGCTGAACTGACTTACTGTATTCTCAATGTCCTGTAGCAAGAAGGGAGTAAAGGTAATTGTCAAGACTGCTTCAAAGTGCTTGAGAGTACTGGACAAAGTGCCATGTGGATGGATGTTCCCTATGAGGAAACTATGAAAAAAATATTCCTGTCAGATTTGCTAGTGAGTCTGATCTTTGGCTCACTTCATTCTTAGAATTTAGGAGGGCTAAAAAACTCTCTTATTTAACCAGCTGGTTATTCAGCTTAAATTTTTAATGATTTATGTAAAAGCACGCATCATCTAAAGCTACAGAATATTGCTTTTTCATTCAATAACATCATCAAAACTTATCCAATGGCAAACTTTGAGTCAATGCTTGGAAAGTGAGATAAAATTCTGGACAAGAAATAAGAAAGAAAATGGTCATACACTGACCTTTCTTCAGTACTGGCTTTGGGGTGGTAGCTACTGCTTCTCTTTCTTTCCACCTTCTGACCTGCTCCTGCCTCATCTTGAAGAACAATATCTGCTTTTGCTCTTCGCTGAGCTCAGCCAGGAGCTCTGGGTCCACATACATGTCGGACAGGATCTGCTTCAGCATGGCTGGAGAAAGCTTCCTGGCGTGAATCAGTGCTGGCCCTGTGTGAGAGAGAGTCACGTCACTCTCCGCCACTTGTCCAGACACACATGAAGGGCTGAAGGAGAGCACAAATCTACCCCCACCCTAGAAAAACAGCAGGAGTGCAGGCTTTCCACATGGCAATTATGGCCTTAATGTCTGCAGCTCTATTTTAAGTCAGACTTCCTGCAATGGTGGAAAAGAAAACCTAAATAACAACCTGAGAAAAACAGGAACTATATTCCACAGAAAGATAGTCACCGGGATTAAGGAGAGTTTAATCAGAACAGAAACAAGGAGGGGATAAGACTGCCTTAATCTGATATCACGTCAAACCACTCCCCGCACAACTAAAGTTGCAGGTGTGGCTACCCTCTCTCTGACTCAGCAACCGGAAAGTTAATGTACCAGTCACTGAGAAATGAACTCTCACCCTCAATTTAAGAAAAGGAGCTCTGACAATCAGCAAAGAAGAGAATGCCTATGAACAAAGTGATAGCAGCAAAGGGAAAAGAAATGTGTGATGCCTTCCTTGTCTGTTTTCTTAGCATTTCCTAGCTGGTGAAATAACTGGTGCCAATTAAAGATTCTGGTCTTTAGTATAAGTAGGCTTAGGGTATCCCTGAGATTTATATAAGTCATAACATAAAATTATAAAATTTATTAATATCTATAAATTATAAAATCAACCAGTTAATGTGTTATATTCTAAGGATGGGGAGAGAAGGCTAAAGAGTGAGTCATGAAAACATTCAGTGGTTTCAGTGGCTACCAGGTAAGAAAGGGAGAAGTAGAAAGAGAGGGAGGGAAAGGACTCTTCTAAGTACACTTCTAGAAGGTACAGCAGAAGGCCTTCATGAAGAAAACCAGCAGACTCTGCTACCATACGTGTTTGATCGCGGGAAAGGAGACTCGAGACCAGTGTGACTTTTTTCAGCTCTTTATTTTATGTATAGATCTGTGCAAGACCTTGGAGCCGTGGCAGCCCTTCATATAGGGATTGCTCGCGGCTCGCAGCCAATGACGGCTCTTTGAATCTCCCGCGATTGGCCCGGCCAATCGCAGTTGATTCGTATGGAGCCAATCACAGTAGTTTAGTTAACCAATCAGCTTGCAGAATGTGTGGACCAATCAGACAAGGGTATTTTGAGTATGCTAATATAGAACAATACCATACATACATAGATTCTGCTTGGGGAAATCCAGCCTAAGAACTATAACTGAGGGCTTAAAAGAGGGGCATTAAGAAGAGACAGAACTATCAATGTGCATAGGGAGTCCCCAAAGTTGAAGAGAAGAAAAATAGCAACTAAGATCCTAAAGAGCTAAACAAACTATTAGCCTATAAGAAAACAGCACAAAGAACAGCTAGGGGATGCTGATTGTTTACTAAAGGTGGGAAATAAAAATCTGGTGGAAAAAAAAGATTGCTAGTTAGAACATGGAATAAGAATCCTTATAGTTGTATCAGCTTATTAAAGGCCAGACTCCCATTAACAGGGAACCAGAAAGCTAGCTGCTCGCAGTCTTTGTAGCCAAATGAACCACTAAGAAACTTTTCCAAAGACATAGCAGTGTTACAGTTCAAACTTAACCTGCAAAAGGAGGAATGTGTTCAATAAACACAGTTAATTATATGTTATCTTTCATGAGAAATACTGTGGTTACAGACAAAGAGGCTATTTTGATGTTATTAAGAACATCAAACCCTGCATTCATGCTGGCTGGGCTGGGTCTGTTTCCCTGCCTAAAAGTAATACTTTCCATAACTACCTGAATCCAGAGCTTTGGCAAGAACATTACATGGACCTTCTTTAGGATAATCTTGGGAAAAAGAAGCCCACCTTTGTTAAGGAACTGCGGCAAAGATGCATCTGGTAAGCATAGGCTGGTCTTTGTAGTACCTTTTAGTTGCATGAGATAGAGCTGGATTTGAAGGAAGCTTGGTGATCATGTCTTTGTGACTGAACTTCATAATCAAAGTTTTCTAAAGGCAGGGTAAGTTTGAATTCTTTCCTATGGAGGAAATGTACAGGCTACAATTCATGAAACATATCTGGTCTCAAAAAATATACATCTTGAGTGGAAAAAATCCTATCAGTTGTATTAGAGAGCTCTGTTTTCATAGAGAAGGACAGCCATAATTACAATACCAATTCTCAAATTCCAGGAGCTTCAAAGTAAAATCATCTGTATAGCCCCCTACTAATGGCCAAATCACATAAACAAGTTTAATCGAATGCATATCTAAAGTTGCAATAGTGAAAGAAACATAATTTTAGAATTTTAAAGCAAAGGGTGAGAAAAAGAACCACTTTTTTTTTCTTCCTAGGCTGTCATAATATTCGTATAACATTGGGTGTAGTGTAAGAAATATTTTTGAATGATTTGTCATACATATCTGTGCATGTGGTCCCTTGTTAGAAAGTAATTGTGTAGCATAAAAATATTATGGAGCTAGACATTATTCCCATTTTACTATTGGGCTACTACCTGGCAAGTTGAATGCCATATCCTAAGAGTTTAAGAAAAAGACAGTGTCCAGGACCATGATCTGATTAATGCTTTTTTCTGAACACTAAGTCGGAAACAAGTTTTCTTAGGGCATGTCTTTATTCTACTGGTTGAATAATGAAAAGGAAAATTTAAAGTGCTTTCCTGCTCAATTCAGGGAAAATAACGTAATGATGAAACAGAAATGCTTCCTTAAATATGCTTAGTAATGATCAATTAATTGTTGAAATTAATTAAAGTTTTAAGTAAGTTACATATACTATGTTTTTCTGTGCCTAAGGATACTCAACTTTTATTCTTCTTAAGACTTAACATTTTCTGCAAGACTCCAGCTACGAATCTGAATGCCTGCAGAAATTAATAGCAGAAAATATGCTATTAATGCTGTAAGCCATTTTGGGGCCAAAAGTGGAACAGGGCTCTCTTGTTTATAAAATAATATATATCAATAGGGAATGAAAATTGTGGTCAGTCATATCCAGAAGTTTATGAATTCCAATTCTCAACAGCTCCAGCCAACATGGGCGCAGATCAGGATGATCGGAAGATCTGAAAGGCCACTGATTTCAATCTTTCTGTTGGATCAGCAATGAAATCCATGTCCAATAGTAAAGTGGGAAACTAATATTATTTTAAATGATTGACTTCAACCTAACTATAAACTTACTGGGTTGTTCTTCTATGTTTTAAGTGATACTTTCTGTTCCACTCAGAAGAAGTCCTTTAATCAGAAGTTCCTTTTATGTGGACTTTTATAGACCATTTTTATGTAACTTTGGCTAGTCATGAGCTAAAAATCTGGTTGCTCAATTATTATGTGAAAATGAGCTGCAATATAAGTTCTTCTGTGTCTAGGTTAAACTTTAAATTTCCAGAAGGAAATCACCTTCTTGGCTTTATCTCAAAAAAAGAAAGCCAAAAATAAGTCATTATAGTTACATTTTCTGGTAGTAGCTGGCATACTAGCTGTTGGCTGGGCTCTGTGTCTTTCCACATTTACACACTGTATTGGTATCTGCTAAGAACCTCCTCTTGTGCATTTTGGATTTACACTCTCAACATATTCAGGGTCCTCCAAATAGTATAAGGAAGATTGGATCCTTTAGCCATAACCTGCTTTAATGTTGCTCGATGGTCTCCTTCCTCCATGTTTTAATTCAATTTTGTTCTTGCATGTTCTCAAGAATGTTTGTTCTTGCCATAAAATTGTTCCTATATCTGAATTGGCTGGTTTGGGAATATATCTGTTCAGAGGATACCGAGGGTCATTCTTACTTCTCTTGGCATCTATTGCAATCTTTCTCCTTATCTTAGGTGAGGCAATGTCAGAAAGAGAATATATTTTCTTAATTAACACATATGTTTGAGACATTCTGTCACTAAACATACTGCTTCATTGATGGCAATATCAACTTGTTTCGCGTGTGCAGATGCACCCTACACTGGAGCAGCATATTCTGTTTAGAGATGCTAAAAGCCAAAGCTGATGTGCAAGTGTTATATCAAGATACTTTGATGTGCTCTTAGACAGTTCTATTGCCACAACTCTTCCTTCGAAATTCAATTTCAAACGTGGAAAGCATTCAGGTAATTAGCTTTCTTTCTAAACCATCCTCAATATGTTTCATAAAGTTTAGGATTTGGCCACAACATGACCTGCCCGGTCTAAAACATGCTTGCTCTCTTATGATTTTTCCATCAATAAATTTAGAGATACAGTTTAAAATTATCCATTCTAGTGCCTTTCAGAGATGGCAGAGGAGTGATATTGATTGGTATTTTTCAGATCATCTGGGTTTTTGCCAGGTTTCTGTAAGGGTGCAACTCTAAGCTGTCTCCATAATTTTGAGATTTTAAACTCAACTATACAGTTGTTCATCAATTGTAGGAGCTAGTCCAGAGTATGGGGACGAAACGGCTTTATCAGTTGTGTTCTAAAATCATCAATGCCTGTTGCTTTATTCATTTTCACAGTCTTTATAGCTTCTTCCAGCTTGAATACCACAAAAGGGGTATTTAATCACCCTTCCTCTTGTTCAGATGGCTGTTGTTGTTTTTTACTTTTTTGCCTCTTTTTACTTTTTTCTCATTTTTCAGCAGCTGGTTGGCTACTTGGTCTGCTGTTACATCCATATGCTTTTGTCATGGTTTTTTTTCAAAGCTCGTCTATGTGGACTATCGCAGTTTTCAGTTATTGGCCATTGCTTGCATCACCTCTTGTGCAGCTTCAACTGTGTCTTCCTGGAAAGAGTCTTGGTTATAAAGCACCTGATATCTATCCAGCAAAGATTTGGTATCTCCAATAATAGGTATAAGTTGAAAGGTCTGTATGTAGCATTACCAAAAACAATTAGTTGAAAATGATGGCTCCCATCTTCACCTCTGTGACAGAGATCGATTGATGCAATGTTATTGGTGGAAAAGACAAGTTCCGCCCAAAGTTTTCAGGCAATACAGTCAACACTTGCCATGATGCAGGAAATGATGAAACCCATGAACTGATAGCGAGGAATCACGAAGACATGAAATTACAAATGAGAACGGAAATAGGAGGAGTGAAGAAAGAGATACAAAATTTGGATAGTAAAATCGGAAAGATGCAGGAGACAATGACAAAAAATGAACAAAAATTAAACACAGTAGAGGCAAGAACTGAGGTGGTGGAAAAGAGATAAGAGCAATGGGAACAAAATTGGAAAGTTTTATATTGTGAACTTCGGGATTCTGTGGTGCATATAGAACTAGAAAAAGCATCATTTTATTTGAGACTCCAGAACGAACTTGAAT